TTTTTCATTGTGCTTTTCACATGTTTATTAAACTGCAAATAAATTAAGTGATCAATAAAATAATAAATAAAAAATTTAATAAGCGAAAAAAATAGAGAACAAAATATAAAAATGATTGTTCTGATTTAACAAATTTTTTTTAACTATGAAAATAATTTTCTTTACTGATTACTTGTAATAGTAATAGTAATCATTTATGTCGACGAACTACGCACAATTGCGAGAGAAAAAAATCCTGGCGTCCTTATATAGTTGCGGAATGAATGCGGAGCCGAACGAAGGTGATTGGCTCACTAGAAGGTATGAATCGGATGGGAGGGGATACGGGATCCGTGATAGGCGCGCCTTTAAGTATAAATACCTAGACCTCTTGAATCTACTCTCAGTGTCCTACAATTAATCTCCTGCTGCTGAGTAATAAGGCGGCAATTTTAATTAAAACTTTTCTTTAACAACTTTATTAAATTAAAAATATTTTTATTTATTTACTACCATTACAAAAATATATTTAATTCAATTTTAGTTAGAAGAAAATATTCAAAATATGTATAATTAACGCAATTCCTTTTCGTTTTTGTTTCAGGTGAGTCGATAAATTACAATGTTGGAGAATAAAATTCATTTCTCGTATGTATTGAAACATATTTATAATATTTATCGGATTATTTTCACCACAATGGATTAAGTCCTATTCTAATATGTTGGACAATTATTTTGTTTGCTTTTGATTATTGCAACATAGAGTGAACGTGATGTGACGCTATTCACGTTTCGAGTTGCAATATACTTGTATAACCGCGATATTAATACGGTTAATGAGCAGAAAATCGAGACGTTAACAAAGCGTGACGTGGTGTTATAAATCACACTGCAACTGCCATAACATGTATCGTAACATATAAAGTTAATGTCTATGTGCGCGTATATTCGCCAATAACAATGGAATTTTAGAAAATTAGATACGCTTTTTGATAATCTTCATTAGTGTCATAATTTTGTTACTTGTTAACTTTTTAAATCCTTGTTACTTCTAATCGTTATTTAATTTTTTTATTTATACATTTTATTTATTATTTTATTTATTATTTTATCTATTATTTTATTTATTATTTTATCTATTATTTTATTAATTATATTAAGTTTTTTCGTTATCTTTATATTTTAATTTTATAATGTGGTTGTTTATTTTATTTAAATTAATTCTGGTTCGCATTATAAAGTAAAATAGAACTAGGATTTTTGTTGGAGATTTTAAGTTTGTTAATTAAGAAGCAATTTAATTGTTATCGAGAAGATGAGTTGTAAATTAGAGTAACTAAAGATTCTAATCAACATTAACCCATGGCTGAGCGTGTTTAGTTCTGTTGCTATAGAATTAGATTCAAGACAGTGTCTGTGTTACCCTTTCGTCTTCTAGAAACTTGTTCCTCTTAATACTCGGAAAACTGTATCTATTACAGCATCTCTAATCATCTCTATTATTCATCCCAACTTTTAATTTCTTCTCCCAAAGCCAAGAATTTAATTTCTAACCTTTTTAATTATTCCACAAGAATTTTTGTTTCTTTTTATACCTAATATTCTTCTCATTTAAATTAAAAACGATTACTTACTTATTATCTAATTCTTAATATTTTATATTTACATTTTTTAAAAATAGTATACTATGTATAATAGTTTTAATTTTACAAATTTTTGTTCTACCTTTTAATTTTACAACTTTGTTTCTAATTCGTAGGAAAGAAAAGTATAAATAAACTGTTTTAATTTTACAAATTTTTGTTCTACATTTTAATTTTACAACTTTGTTTCTTATTTGTAGGAAAGAAAAGTATAAATAAACTGTCTGAATGTTTGTTTTGAAATTTTTTTATTTCGCAATTTTTTATTTGTCAAATAAAAATTGTTATCCTTTATAAAATTAATAGTCGACATGTTTGTTGATTGGATTTGATAGACATTTGTTGATTGCATTATGGTAGGCATCACGCTCGAACTGTTCTGAAGAGGTAGGTTGGGTAGTTAATTTCGTAAGGACCAGTAATTAATGTAATATTAGTTGGATACTGTTATCCATGGTGTACTATTACCAACTATAAGCCAGTGTTTGGTTATCGATTGATATTCTCTCGTTCATTCTCTCTCTAACTCTGTCTCTCTCTCTCTCTCTCTCCCTTCCTCTCTGCATAGATTGTGTATCTACCGAGGTATGTGTTCGCATTCAAACCCATTGGTTGCTATGTATCGATAACCACAGCCAAAATTCGATCTTGTCATCTGCGGTTACAGAATTACGTCCTACTTTTTAAATTCATCGATTTTTGGTCAATGCAATCTTGTCCTTCACATTTTATCCAATTTCACACTCAACGCTCTTGTTCAATTGACGACAAATAAGTTTATCTTCGGAATAATTTAATTTCAAAAAACCCTTTTTTATCAACTTAGTTTTCCTTTTCATAATATTTAGTTTAATTTTTTTTTTATAAACAGTTTAGTGTCCTTTTTACCTTTAATATGTTAAAATATTTAGATTTAAATTCCAGACATAATTGCAGTCCTTTGTTTAAAATAGTGTAAATAATTACCGAAATTAATTCTGTCCGAACGACTCGATTTGAGATGTTTGAATTATAAAAAGGGGAAAATTTAGTATATTGTCGAACGGGAAAACAAAGGGAATAATTTCCCATTCGATTCAGACAAGGCGCATGTGGGACAATGGCCTTTGCATGGTGTATGTTTGTTAGCAAATGATTGTCGAATAAGCACCATGAGTAAATGTACACGTAAAGTTGTTTGATAAATTTTAATAAAATTTGCCGTGTGTATATTGAACTAAGAATTATGAAACTAATATTTTCGAGACAAGAGTAACAGAAAATAATTTTTCATTTGTGATGGGAATAAAATGAAACGGAAAAAGAAATATCTTTCTTGCGTTGCACCGTGATATAATTTTTTATCTTAATGAATTTTCAATTCGTATTTCTGGTTATCAGTTGATAATAATGAAGCCACCTGTTTACAGGTGCTATTAAGTGTGAGTCACGCGTCAACTTAGAATCCAGTCTGAAAAGTAGAACTGGGAAGGGAAAGGGAGGAACGGACGTGTCACTCAACAAGCTTAAGACGAGCTCGATGCACACGCACTTGTTCACCTGACTGATGTTGCACTTCCACTCACACAACTGCAGTGGAATTCCCCCCTTTACTGCAGGACAGGTGTGCTTCTTAATCGCTGCAAAACTTGTTCCACATGTTCCTAATATCTTTATCAACTTTCCAATTACATTTCTGGCAGTCAGCCGTATCTTTGATTTTTTTAAATTTCAAAACTTATTCTATTATTAAATATTAGAAAAAAAAATTTCCAGGTATTTTTCTTTCTCAATAAGTTTGTTTCTAGTCTGTAGGAAAGAAAGAATTAATAATTTTTTAAAACCGTGTTGTAACCCGATTTTGAATTAGGACTGCTTGCATTTGCTTGGACCACCCTTCTATTAAATCTATACATATAATTTTCTTTATAAAATTATAATGTAATCTTGAACAATAAAATAACTATTAATATTTTCAATAAGAAATTTTTAATATTCTCAATTACTGGTTCGTCACTGCCGACGAACTACGCATAACTGCGAGAGAAAAAAATCCTGGCGTCCTTATATAGTTGCGGAATGAATGCGGAGCCGAACGATGGTGATTGGCTCACTAGAAGGTATGAATCGTGTGGGAGGGGATACGCGAAACGTGATAGGCGCGCCTTTAGGTACAAACACCTCGACGCTTGGAACTTCCTACAAGTAACTTATTTTATTATTAAATATTAGGAAAAAAACTTTCCCAGTAAACATCTGAGCTAAAAAACCTACTTCGAAAATTGGTTTAAAGAAATTGGTAAAATAACCTGGCTCAATTTGCACCCAGGGATAATCTACATGATTAAGAATTAAAATTACCAATTATATTTTTTCTAAATTTTTTCAAATATAAAAAAAGAAATAAAACTATTTTATGGATGCAGTGTAACTTAAATTGTATATAGTAGAGAATTCAACAACTCTTAAATTCGATTAGCCGACCCCCACAAACGTTCCTAGTGTTGAAGTTACGGTGGTGTAAAGGAAGAAGGTGAATTTCAATTGGAGGAAATTTTAATGGAGCAGCACGAAACTTGGTAAACCGAAAACTGCATCCAGAGTCTGCATGCAAAGTTAACTCTCAGTCAAATAGACGATAGCGTTTGTTCTAAAAGTCGAGCGTGCGGTAAAGATACATGTAGTGTCGTAAAGACGAATTTAAAATAAAGAAAAGGGGTGTAAAAGAAAATAAGGACATGAGAATATTCAAAAAAAAAGAAAAAGAAAAGAAAGGTGAATATATATGTCAAGAAAAAACAACATGAGAGAGAGAAAAAATGAAATACAGAATAAGTTAAGAAATGAGAGGCGTCGGTTTAACCCTGGACTTTTAGTCGTGCTAAGGTTTCCATATAACGTACCGTAGAAATGCATAATATCCATCCGGCATATCCGACATGGTACACGCGAGACAAGGGGCTCGTATTTTATTAGCTTAGGACCGTCTGCTGTAATTTCCCATGTGGAAAATAGTCATGGCGCTATAACGATACTGTCTAGTTATTCTGGATACAATACTGGGGCGACATAGATAATCAGTACAGAAACTATCTAAAAGTGTAACGATTTGATGAACAAGTTTCTATGTAGTTTCACTATATCGCTTAACTAGACAGAAACTAGACCGTAAATCTAGAGTTATTTAGTAAACCTATATATTTACTAGATTTAAAACTGTATTATTGTTTTAAAATATTATTAATTATATTGGAAATAAAAAGTCACGTATTTGAACATATTAAATTTATTAAGTAAAGAAATTTAACAATTTTTAGTTTCCAACAGGAATTGAACATTAAATTTATCAAGTAAAGCAATTTTAACAATTTTTAGTTTCCAACGGAGAACTCGACTTTGGAAATAAACAATGGAAATTTAAGAAATATGAAAGAAATGATATTGTAGAGAATACAGCTTCCATTAACAATTCAAAATAAAATATTGTAGTTTTTTTTAACAAAATAAACATTTGAAAGAATATTTTTTTATTCAGAATTAAACTCAAATTATACGGTTTCCATTTATGTTGTTTCTGTAACATTCTAAAATTCTTCCTCAAGTGCACCCTCAAGTGCACCCTCAAATTCATCATCAAATTCATCATCAAATTCATCCAAAGCAATTTTTTTTGTCCTAGAAGAACGATGTCCATCCCAGTCGGTGGCGTTCGTAATGACTGGGCCAAGAACTCTCAAAAAGTCTTTTTCAATTAATTCTGTTCCATATGATTTCCATTTTTTCGTTATATAATCTAAAAAATACCAATATTTGCACTCAGGGAACATGTATATTTAACAAAGACAAAAATTTTAATTAACCTTCTTTGTTCGAAAAAATAAAAATGTCTGGTTAATAAAAAAAATTATTTGGTTATCTGTAATAAATTAGTAAAATACCAAAGCAAAAATATAAACGAATTAAACATTTATTCGTATGAAACCAGTTGTTTGTTTCGACATTAATGCCGAAATTCACACCATTTTTAACAATGAAAAATAAAAAAAGATTCTATTTTTAATTTATAATTCGTCTCCTCTTTTTAGTGAGTGTCAATTTTAGAAAATTAATTGATGGGCTGAATTTTATAAGGGTATACGCGCCATGTTAAGTAATAAATGGCGTTTATCCCCTTATAGCCATCAGCCCCTCAATTGTTACTTCATTGACAATACCTGGAAAAATGTTTTGGTAAAGAAAATTAAATAAATTGAATACATTAAATAGATTTTTGTTCAAATAAAGGAAACCATGTTTTTTTGTTCAAATAAATAGTAGTGAATTTAATAATTTTGTTAAATTAACCAAACATTTGATAAGCGATGCATGTTTCAAACAAACTTACCTAACATACACTTGTAAAATTCGGTTTCCTTCAAAACTTGCTGTTTTGCTTCGGTTTTCTTCGATGCATTGAATAATAGCATAACGTCTCGCGCAAAATACATTTTTAGAATGTTAATAAAACTTCGAGATAGCGATTTATTTTTGTCAATAAGACTACTCAAAGTCTGTTTCTGTAAAACAACGATATATTAATTTATCTTGTTAACTATATTTTTATCAGTCTTATTCTAAAGTGTCTAATAACCGAGACACCCATAAAGTAGCATATTTGTTCATATTTAAAATAATTTTCTAAATCAGAATCGATAAAAAATTTAGGTCATATATAATTATTAGTAGTGAATCACTAATTAATAGTAAATAAATGACTCAGGCTCCGCACTCAATAATTTATTTTTAAAAAGTATCAAAAAGTAGTTTTAGGACTGAAAGAAGTGGTTAAAAGTAGCTTCTATTTGAACTGATTAAAAAATTTGAAAAAAGTATCAAAACGTAGAATTAAGATTGAAAAATGTAGCTAATATCGCCAAATTAAATTTGTCGACTAAAAAACTTATTTTAAACGATTCACAAAATTCTCAAATATTTAATTCTTTATTATCATGAACATTATTCTCATTTACATAAAAAATACCACTTTTTTTCTCATTCTGGTAATATAACTTCCATTCTAAATTCTTTAAAATTTCAATTAGGTATATTTCCATCTTTTAGTTATGAAATTAGAGAATTCCTCATAAAAGTTATAAAAGTTGATTATATTTCAAAATAATTTTTTAAAGTAAGAAAATTAATTCTTCATATGAAATTTATTTCAATTAAATTTGACAAAATTTCCCATCAATTAGCAAATTTAAATTTCTATTTTTACGAAAATTTAACTGTGTTGAAAAAAATTGAATTAAAATTTTTTAAATATTTTTTTACAAATTTTTTTTATAATTTCTGAATTAAATGATGCATATTTATGTTTAATAAGTTTATAAATACTTATTTATTTTTCCACATGAATTACAATTTAAAATAATTTTAATGCAAAAGCATTTTGAAACTTATAATTATTTCTAAAAATCATATTATAATCCATTTAATATTCAATTATGCTTAAATTATTTTGTATAACTTAATTAAAATTGAATTTAAAACAATTAAACATATTTTGTTAATATTTTAAAAAATAATTAATTTCTTTAAATAAATTTTATTAAAATATTAAAATATTTTATTTCTTTCAAAAAATTTCTAGAAAATTGTTTTTTACATAATTGAATTACTACGTGAAAATTTTATTACTCATGATATTATTTAAATTTACACTTTAAATTTTAGTACAATTTTTAAAAATAAGTAAATTGTTTTTAATAATTTTGTAGAAATTTTCGAAAATAATTAAATGATTTTACAGAATTGAATTAAAATTTTATTACAAATAATTGAATTCCTACTGAAGAATTTTATTATTTACAAAAAAATTGAATTCTTTAGAAAATTTTTATTAAAGTTATATTTAAAATAATTGAATTCATTTGAAGAATTTCATTACTTATTAAAAATAATTTAATTCCTATAAACAATTTTTTTAGAAAATAATCAATTTCTTTCAAAGAATTTTTAAAAAAGATTTCGAACAAATTCCTTTAACATTGTATTTTACAAAATTGAATTATTTTGAAAATTTGATTATTCATATTATTTGAATTTTATTAAATCAAGTGTAAATAATTGAATTTTTTGGAAATTTTGTTAAAATATGTAAATTTTTATAACTGAATTCTTCCAAAATATAGTTTTAATAGATGAGTGCGAAGCCTGATTTACAAAGTCCTTTAATATATACTTATATACTTACAAACTCGTGTCTGAACGTTTTATTAGTCTTTAAGTCCATATCCATGGACTGAAACTCGTTTAATGTTCCAAAAGGTAGTTCAATGTTATACTTTTCTGCAAAAGTCTTTGGCAGTTCTTCATTTGATCCATTTGCTATTAGTATTGCTTTTATATCACGTAGCTCTCGAGATGCATCCTTTATTTCTACGTGTAATATGTGCAATGCTTTAATTATTCTTGATTGGATCAATAATGGATTTTCTGGAAAAAGAATATTCCTATATTTTTAAACAATTAAGAAAAATAAATATGAATGAATCTCTTATATTACCTTCTTCGGTTAAAGAAATGTTTGGTGTGAAAATGTTTACATTATTTTCTACTGTCTCAAGAATCCTTGGTCCTAAAATAATTAACAAAAAAATATTTAGTACACAACAGTACAAACAAAATTTACTGTTTATAATCTGTATTTATTTATCATTTATTTATATACTTTAACGATAATTCAGTAAAGTTATGTGTAAATTTACTTTTACTGTCTCCCTTTGATGATGACGAATGAGTTTCTTTTCTATTACTCGGGTTTAGAGTTTCATTTTCGAATTCTGGAATAATGACTTTTTTAGTAATAAAAGCTGTTTTAACTATTGAAGAATCACATATTTGCAAAAATGTAACAAAATACCTCTTTTTCTCTTAGTTGAATGTGTTATTTGACGGTTTCCAGTAGTTACCGTATTTTTAGTTTTTGGAGGAACACCTAGAGTTTAAAATTAATACAAATTGAAGGGCTGGCTGAAATAAGGGGACGGACGCGAGACTTGGAAGGGATACTGCCAGTCGAGTAGCAGTGACAAGCCTTGAGCCGCTCACTGCTACCTGACTGGTATTATCCCTTTCAACCACGCGTTTCTCTCCTTATTGCAGCCAGCCCTCCAATTGTACACTGATTTATATATATATATATATATATTCGTAAGTTAAAATTAATTTAATTTTTATAAATACACACGTTGATCATAATTTGAATTAACTGTTCTATTCAACTTTGTTTTGAATATGTCTTCTTCCTCTTCGTCATAATCCTCATAATCATAATCCTCATCATCATATGCAGAATAATTTTTATCACTTGCTGAAGTACTTGATGAATCTAATGAAAATAATTAATAAAAAAAATATTAATTGCTATGTTAACCCCCTGCATACTCAAGTGGTCAAAAAACGACAATTCGGTCGCCTGGTGAGGTAGTGAAATAATAAGGATTAATAATAATAAATTATTAATATATATACATATAAATAATTTGAAGAATATACATATATAGTTTTTAAACAGAAAAGCATAATTGTAGAATTAATTCCATTACACAAGTTACTTATTAAAGTTACTCTTAATAATTTTAAAGACAGATATTTCACTCTCATTTTTTTAATATTCTTTCAATAAGTTGTATTTATATTTTAATTGACCAGTAATTGTAAAAAAAATTACTAACTTTAATAAAACAGAACTTAACAAAAAAATATTTTTGAATTTAAGATTTTTAATTACCTGTTGTATTTTTATTCAAAGTTGCCTTCATAGGTTTTGTATGACTTTTTTTAATCGCCTCTTGTGCAGTTTTTGATTTCTTTTTAGGAGTATTTGAGTCTGAAAAAAATATTAGGAATACATTTTTACAATAACATCAACTATTATTTTAATTTTATATGAAGTAGAAGCGTTAAAGTTATTTCCAATAGAATTTTTAACTTTTTTTTACAGATCTCGGATCGACTTTAAAGAGCAAAAAAGTCTTTAGTCGATTAAAAATAAAAAAGTCAAAAGTCGTTTATTTTATTCACTGCTGCCACAATTATTCACTGCTGCCACAATAATTTTATTTTGTATTTCCCTGTCCTATCAATTATTTCTAAATTCAATTATTGAAAACTTGCATAATTTTGTTGAATAAATCCTATTCAATTTTAAATATTTATTTATTTTTCCACGGGAAATAAAATTTAAAAAATTTCAATTTAAATCTTTCTGAAATTACTAATTTCAAACAATTACAACTATAAACCTGCCATAACTCAATTAATTTCAACAATTTTTAAAACTAAACTTCATCTCTAAATAAATTATTTATAATAACTTTCCAAAAGTTTTTTAAGGATTCAATTATTTTAATCAATACAAAAATTTAATTTTTATAACAATTTTTAAAAAAGTAAATTTTAATAATTTTTTCGAAAATAATTAAATCTCACAAAATTTTAATAAAACAGTTCTTAGAATTAGTTGTTTAAAAATATTGTAATGTAATTTTTCGAAAATAATTGAATTACTTAAGAGTTTTAGTATAATTTAATAACAGCTCATGAATTTTTTGAAGAATTTACAAAAAATTGTAATAAAATACTTGAAAAAATCAATTAATTTCAATTAAATTTTTGCAAAATTTTAATTATTTTGAAAATAAAATTTCTAAAATTCTTTATTGAGAACTTGTTGGATAACAAGAAGTTTTTCAACTTAATGGATTAAAAATTTATAAACAGCAAACTATTTTTTAAATATAATAATATTTGTTTAGAAATAATTGGTAGAACAATTGCATCTTAAAATTTCAACATGTGATTTAGAAATGTTTAGCAAAATGATTTTTAATTTTTTACCTGTCATAGATTCATGTAGTTCCTCTAGATTCTCAGTTATATCAGGCACATTTAATAGTGAGTCCTCTTCGTCCTCTGTTACTTGGATTCTTTTTGCTCGAATTCGTTTTTTTGTATCGTTTACTTTTTTATTTACTTCAGCTCCACTACTGTATACGAATTCATTTGTTGCCAACAATGACAATCGTTTCTTAGCTTCTTGTAAAGTTTCTAAAAAAATTACCCTTATTAATTATATATTACCAAAAAAGCTTGTTAGTTAAACTGTAGGTAAACTATTACCCTGGAGAGTTAGATATAATTTAAGAAAATGCTTTCTTAATAATATAGATTACAAAAATATATGGAAAAAGTTTTTGGAAAATTAATTTAATATACATAATTCAATAATAAACTTACTTGCATGTCCATGAAATGACACTTCGTACTCTGGCCAAATAGCAGGAGCAGGTGAATATGATTTTAATAAATTATTCATTTCTCTCTTGACTGCCACATTATATGGAGGCGGAGCAAATTTTGTAACATATATATTCTTTTTTTTCTTATATTTCATCCACGAAGACAAAACAATATCGATAGGCTTTTTGCCTTCAGAATCTTCATACCCCGGGAACGAAACAAGTTGGTAGGCAAATTCATCAGCCTCTTCTTCTGATATTGATTGATTCATCATTCTATAAACAAAAAATTTTAAATCAGATGAAAAAATCTTTTATTTAATTCTAAACAGATTTAAAATTCGATTGTAAATTCTTATTAAATCTTTGCTAAATCTTTTGAAGATTGTAAATGACATTGCTTTTTGCAAACTACAATTTTAGATTAAAAAATGTATTATAATATTACAAAGTCCAAAAAATGACTTTTTTAAACAATAAATATCTTTTTTATTAATTAAGTTTAATAACTTTAAAAAAACAATTATAAAGAACCTAACCTAGAAAGTGGACTTGTACAATCACTGAACAAAATTGTTATTCAAAGAATCTAAAATTTGTACAATGTTTAGAAAAATATTTAAAATTGTTACATTAAATAAGGTGCACATAACCTTACTTATTCTCGTATTGTGCAATTTTGTCAATTTCGATAAAAATACAATTCGCCAATGTAAAATCCACAGCAAGTAGTTTATCAATGGGCGTTTAATTAATTATGATGTATAACTATAATTTGCAATTTAACTTACCTTTTTTAATACGAAGATTGCTTATTAAATGCACATGGAACCACGGGAATAACAGCACAAAACTTGACGAAACTAACCGATGAAAATAAAATTTTCAGAGACTCTCCTTAAAAGTGAATCGAAGAAACAAAACTGTGTAAAGCCTATTACACACATGTGCCTATTTCACAATCCACCTTTACTATTGGCAAACAGAAAATAATGGACAAATAGCAAACGAGAAAAAACTATGATACTTCCTTTATTAAAAGGGGTAAAGTAGGGATGAATTTTGCCTGCGCATAAATAAGTGATATTTTAGGTTATGAATGTTTTTGTTGATACGTGTTGACAGCGCTCTTTAGAAAGTTAATAGAAATATTATTTGATATATTAAAAATTAAATACAAATATTATTTGCTATATCAAAAAGTAAGTATTTCACAATATTTTATTAAATTATCCTGATTTCATATTTTCTATATGACAGTTTGTTTATATAATTTCTAACCTCTAAAATAATTTCTTAATTTATAAAATTTGATTTTTCAAACAGATTGTAATAGTTTACAAAAGATATCTTTAAAATTAAAATATTGAAGTAGATGTTTTAATAAATAAAAGATTTTTATTTTGAAACTTTTCTTCCACTATCAACTCCAAATTTAGATTATAACCTACACAACTTATTCCTCTGCCACGACTGTGGTTCATTTTACTTACCTTATTTTGTTTTATTAAAAAAAATATTTCTGATTTTATTAGTTAATAAATTTAATTAATATTTTTAAATTATAGAATCAAAATGGCTGAAAATAACGAAAATTATCAACGCAAATTGGGAAGAGCCCGAATTAGAAAGTTTAGAGAATTGTCTCGTGCTAGAAATTACGTTCCTTCTCGGGATTCTAGTTCTTCAAGTGATTTTTCACAAGGTATATTGTATAAAAATTCTTAAATTCTTTAAAAACAATTTATATTTTGAAATTTTACAAATTCAAATATAGTGATATAGGTTAAAATCTAGATATAGATTTCAAGAAACTTCAATATATCATTAATTACATTTTCAGAATTTCACAAAGGTTAAAAATTGCCTAAAATAAGAATTTTTATTGAGACAAAAGATTGAATTCCATTGAGGGGAGGGACGACTACATTTTTTTACATTTTTTTCTGAGAAGAATTCAATGGTCAGAAAATATTGTTACCCTTTTTTAATTTTAATTTTTCGTAAACTGTAGTTTTCTTTAAAATGTTTTTGTATCCACAAAAAAATTTTAATTTAATTTGTTTTTAAAAAATCGCTTTTTATTTCAATTTTTATAGATATTTATACTGTTCTCTGAATTCGAATTAGTTAAAAATAATTAATTAAATTAAAATTTTTTTTAAAAATTGAATTTTTGCAAAGTCTTTTCAAAAATTCTGAAAAATAAGATTTTTGCAATTTTTCAATTATATTGTTTCAAGATAATTAAATTTTTATGAACAAATAATTGAAAATTTTTGAAATAATTGAAAATTCTTTACATTCTATTAAAAATAATTAAATTCTTTTAAAACATTTTAGTTAAATTTTTCGAAAATAATCAAGGGATGTAAGTCACTGTATTATTATTATAATTTATTTCTCGAAACTGTAAAGAAATTCTTCTCAAGAATTCAATTATTTCCATAAATAGCAAAATTCTTCTTATTTACTAAATTATTTTAAATATTATTCAAAAAAAATCTTCGCATGAATTCAATTATTTTCATAAATTTCCATAAAATTCTTCGCAGAAATTCAATTATGTTTAAAAAAAATTTTTAATTCTCGAACTTCCAATTTTTTTTATAAATAATGAAATAAAAAAATTTTTAATTCTCGAAATTCCAATTTTTTTATAAATAATGAAATTTTTCTCCACAATTTAATTATTTTTAAAAAATTTAATAAAATTCTACACAAACATTTAATTTTTTCTTTGGAGGGATTCAATTACTTTTATATATAGTAAAATTCTTTGCAGAAATGCAATTAGTATTAATACATTTTAATGAAATTGAATAAATAAAAATTTCAATTATAATTATGAACAGACAAGATTATTTTAAAAAATTCAAAAAAATTCTGTGTTTAATTCAATTATTTTACACATTTTTTATTAAAATAATTAAAAAAACATTATTTAAAAAAATTTTAAGAAACTTGTCAAAAGATTTGAATTATTCGTGAAAACTCTAATCAAAATTTTGGAATTCATTTGTGAATTTATTTATGTTCGAAATCAAATAAATTTAAATTTGATAAGAAAAAAAAACCGGATAAAATTAGGACAAAGCCGGGAAAAAATTGGCAATTTTGTTGAACGAAAATTGTAGACACCCTGAAATTGGTTTATCTTTCTACGATAATTTTTTAAAATAAAAAGTGAAATATAATAAAAAATTATGATTTGAAATTAGGGAAATAAACAAATTAATTCTTATATATAAAACACAAATTAATTCCCTTCTAAAACATTGTTTTTATCAATAATAATAATAATCAGATTTTTCATACGGAAATTTCTTTGTAGATATAAAAACATATTTTCTAAAAAATTAAAGATGTGTTTTAAAATCTATCTATTTTAAAATTTGTAAGAGAAATATAAGTCAAAAGAGGATAAAATTATTTTATGACCATTGAATTCCTTTCAATAAATTCAGGCCTCGAATATTATGACTCTTTCCGACTGTTTTCAAATAATGAGACATTTATCGACTTATATTAAAAAATTGCAATTTTTTCGACTTTTCTTCAAAATTTTGAGACAAAATAACATTTTTTGAGTATAAAGTGCAACTTATTTCGATTTTTATCTTATAAAATGCATAACTATAGACAAACCTCTAAAAATTCATTTTTGAATAATTTTTGAAAGATACAATTAAAAAGATTATTTAAATAATTGAATTTTTTGAAAATTTTAATTGAAAATAAACTATTTTTTTAAGTATTTTATTACAATTTTTGAAAATTAATATTTAAAGAATTTATATTAAAAATTTTAGTAGTATAATTGAGTTCCCGAAAATTTTAATGAGAATATTAATAATAATAATTAATAATATATTAATAATAAGTGTAAATTCAATAAAAATGAAAATTAGGTTCTAAAAATATTTAAATCCTAGTTTTGAAAAAAGTAATTCTCTGAATTAGTTCGTTTTAATTTATTAAAATTCAATTATGTACAACATTACGATATTAAATATTTTTATATTTCCGAAAATTCAAATACATACATAAAATAAGAACATTAAAATTTTTTAGAATTATTTTTAACATTATGGAGAAAATAATCATTCAAAATTTTTAATTAAAATTGTTCAAAAAATTACTCTTTTTTAAATGATACAACATTTTTTAATTACCTTAGAATAAAGGGAATTAAATTTTTTAAAAATTTTCTATTTTATAATTTTTGAAAAATTATTTATAATTAAAATTTTTTAAAAATTTAATTATTGATTATTTTTTAAATATTCTTTATCTTTGTTATAAGTTTCATTAGAAAAGTTTTCAGTTTTAGATTCATCTATTGAATCTTCAATTTTAATTAATTAATTAAATTAATTTAACACAATAAAAAACATATGTAATAGTAATTCCTTTTTAAAAAAAGTATTATTACGTTAAAACCAAGAAATAATTAATTGTAATAATTCAAATTGTTCTATTTTTTGTTTCACTCCTATTTATATATTTGACATTCTGTAGATGAGCAGCGAATTGAAAATCTGGATATCAATGTTCCAAATGAGATATTCTTTCCCGAAAATCTAAACGACCAAAATCAACATCTTGAAGAATTTAGAGAAGAAGAAGCTAATGCTGTTTCAACTGATGAGAGTATAGGCGAATATAATGATGTTCAAAATGAAGAATATGCTGCACATGAAACTGAAGACGAAGAAGATTCTGTAGATGAATCTGAAACTGAAAATTCCTCCAATGAAACTGAAAACGAAGATGAAGAATATTCTGAAAATGAGGTCACATCAGATAGTTCAGAGAGTGAAGAATCGGATTTTGAAAATGAAAATTATATCGAGATAGAAAAATTGCGTCAATGGGCAGTGAGAAATAAAATTTGTCAAGCTCCATTAGATGAATTACTTGAAATTTGTAGACAGCGTTGGCTGCCAGATTTACCAAAATCTTCAAAAACTTTGTTAAGGACATCTGATGCAGCGTATACAATTTTGCCAATGGAAAGTTTGGATAGAAAAGAGGGTGAATTTGTTTATTTGAGCATAAAGACCGGGTTACACAGATGTATTGATACAAATATACATGATGGGAACTTGATTGAACTTAAATTTAATGTGGATGGTTTACCGATAAGTAAGTCAAGTGACCTTCAACTTTGGCCAACACTTTGTCAAGTTCATCATGAGGCAATTTGTTATCAACCTTTCGCAGTCTCTATTTTTTGTGGAATGTCAAAGCCCATAAGCAACGATGTTTATTTCGAAGAATTTGTGTCAGAAATGAACGATCTGCTTGAAAATGGAATAGATATTGAAGGAAAACACTATCGTATATCCATTAAGTGTTTCGTTTGCGACACACCTGCAAGGGCTTTCTGCAAAAATATAGTGGGCCATAATCATAAATTTGGTTGTGAACGCTGCATTGTAAAAGGCACCAAACGTGGTTTTAAACAAACTGTATTTTTGTCGACGAATAGTGCAGAAAGAACAGATGATTCGTTTCGAAATCAAAGTCAAATACAGCATCATAAAGGACACTCTCTGCTCAGTGACATCAGGCTGCCTATGAATATGATCTTCACCTTTGTGCTGGATTTCATGCACCTATGTTTTTTAGGTGTAATGAAAAAATTACTGTTCTTTTGGCTTGAAGGAAATTTAAATTTTAGATTAAGATCTAGATTGAGGAATGCTTTGTCGGACCGTATGGAACTTCTTAAAAATGAAGTTCCTTGTGAATTTCAAAGAAAACCTCGAAGTACAAAAAAATACAAAAAATGGAAGGCTACTGAATTTCGTTTTTTTTTGCTTTATTGTGGGCCTATTATATTAAAGAAAATTCTGTCAAAGCGTTTATACAAACATTTTTTACTGCTTCACTGCGCGTGCCGAATTTTAAGCATGGACAATATTTGTATTCGCTTAAACGGATTTGCGAAAACTTTTTTAGTGCAATTTGTAAAAGGAGCTAAAAGTTTTTACGGAAAATCTTCCCTGACAATGAACCTACATAACCTGCTCCATGTAGCTGACGACGCCAGGACAATGAATTGTAGTCTTACAAAAATTTCATGTTTTCCGTTTGAGAATTTTCTTGGAAAATTAAAAGTAAAATTAAGAAGTCCCTTGAAGCCATTAGCTCAAATTTGTAGACGGCTTCATGAAGAAGCAAATGTCATTAATCAAAAAGGAAAGATTTCTCCGGCAATAGATGTTCTGAAAGCAAAACAGAATAATATTCTGAAAATAAAATTTAAGGAGTATACATTAACAGCTAAAGAGCCAGACAACATAGTTCTGTTAAAAAACAGAAAATTTTTGAAAATAAAAAAAATCGTTAAAAATAGGGATGATATAGAAATACGGGGACAATACTTTAAGGGAAAGAAACCTATCTATGTGTATCCTTTTAAATCAACTGCTCTAAACATGTGGGAAATTTATCCAGATTCATTGGAGGAATTGCATACTTTCCCTTTATCATTTGTTGATAAAAAGGGTATGAAGCTTTCGGCATCAATAAGAGATGATGCAAATAAGCGTTACTATCTCTTACCACTAATTCATTAGAAAAAAGTGTTAAAATGTAATCGTTTAAAAAATGTAGAAAAAAGTAATTTAAAAATTAATTCCAAAAAATTGTATTAAATATAAGTATATCTTTTATGAACTTATAACTTCAATAAAATAAATATGATAAATATAATTTTTTATTATTCCTATTCTAAATAAATAATTTTTATTAAATTTGTATTAAAAGTAATTGCATTCCTACAAAAAATAATAAATAATTGGAAAATAGTCATTAAATTATCTTCCAAAATTTTATTCAAATTTTATTGAAAATAATTAAATTCTTGCTAAAAATTATTTAATTCACAACAAATAAAATAATAAATAATTTTAAAAAAAATAAAACTACTGAAAATAAAAATTTAATTACTTCGAAAAACATTAATTTTTTTAGAGGAATTTAATTAAAAAAAAATAAAACTACTGAAAATAAAAATTCAATTGCTTCGAAAAAATCATATTTTTTTTAGAGGAATTTAATTTAATTATTATTGAGGGTAATTGAATTCTTATAAAAAATTATAACAAGAATTAAACAAAATTAACAAAATTAAATTCTTTTGACAAATTTTATTTTAAAATTTTTAAATAATAATTGTATTCCTGCAAAAAACTATATTACTTACAAAAAATAAAAAAAGAAATAATTGATAATATTACTTAATTTACTAAAAATAAAAATTTACATATCAATAAGAACAATAATTATTATTATCATAATAGTAGTAAAATAATCATAACAATTATTATTATTTTACTATTATTATAATTTTAATTATCGTTATTATTATATTGTTCTTATTGTTATTGTAATAATAATAATTATTATTAGTAGGTATTACTATATTATTGTTATTATTAAAAAAATTAATTTAATTCTACTTAAACTAGGACTTTTCTGTATAGATATGTTACAAAGAAACTAGACAGTAAAACTAGATAGTTTTACTACACAGATACGAGGTAGTAACGGTACAGTTTTACGTTTATAGTTGATCGTTACAAAAACTGTATAGATAATATATTGTGTATAGTCTTCCATTATTATTTTCCACATGGGTTGCGATAGGTTCCCGAACGCAAAATCCAATGATAAACGCCAGCAAGTCGTTAAACGACAAGGAGTCGCATTTCATTATTATTTTCAGTTGAATTCAATTATATTAAAATATTTAAATAGAATTATAATTCAAGTTTATTGATATATTCTTTTACTACAATTATATTAATATGCAACTTTGATTATATTAATAATCAATGATTATTATTATAGAATTAATTATATTTTTATTTCTTTATTATTATTTATTTGTCAGTAGTTAACACTGGGCAACAAGCAGCATTACAGATGTTATAGTATAGAAAGCCTCGTTTACATATTTTGAAAGGGAAAATTTTACATTAAAATCCATTGTTTAAAGAGCAAAAGAAATTACAGCCCCACGTCGTACAGAGATCGTTACCATAACTTCGAACCAACATGCGCTGTAAACGCATTACGAAGGGCTTAGGGTAACGGCCGATAATTTCCTAGGTGTGGCGAATCCTTATCGTGGCTCGGAAGCGCGGTTTACGTTTATTTACGTACGTAAATGAGCGCCTAAGCTGGTCGAAGAAATCTGGCGCATGCCTTGCTATTTTGTAAAGTTACGATACACATTTTGTTTTTGTTTTGTTTCTTTTGTTTTTCCGTTTTTTTTTTTTTTTTTTTTTTGCTGAATCTAATCCCTGCCCGCTTCTAAATCGTCCTATCTTCTCCAGTACCACTTTTTTTTCTCGGTTTTAACACTTTTACTGTCGCGATGTTTATAAACGAAAGAAAATAAAGCCACTGACTCGGGAAATCTTTCCGAGTTAGTCAATTTAATTAATTGTCTTTAGCTACCATTGGAAAAAGGAACTAGAATCAGTATTTTTTCAGACAAGTGATTCTTTGTTTTCGGGTTTATTGTTCTGAGCAATTTGTTTAATTTTATTCTAAGTTTGCAAATGGTCGAAAGAGGTTCGTATTTACTCGTGGCAGGTGTGTCGTGACACGAGTGATTACGAACTTGCCCGAAGAGTAGTTTTACATTCAGGCAATGTCGCTAGTTGTCTAACAGGACGCAGAGCGAACAGAACAGGTGAACAGTGCCAATCAGCAAAGTAGGAGACATTAGTTAAGGGTTTTTAAGGTGTATTTCTGAGCTATTCTTACGGAATATTTTTTTAATGACAAAATTCCCAATAGTTTGTGCTAATTACCAGCGCACAAACTAAAAACTTGGGTCTAGTGGTAATTAGGGTTCTTGCTAAAGTACCCACTAAAAAATTGTAATTGAAACAAGCTTACTAAAATCATAAAAAAAAATACTTTTTTGTTTAAAACAAAATGCTTTTTTGTATAAAAGAAAAATACATTTCTTTTTTGATGTAATAATTAAGGGTTTGAATTTTTCATTACTGTTAATGAAGTATACATTCATTTTAAGTGGAAGTTATGAAGAAGAGTTAGATTTTATTGACATTACTGGTTATAATTAACGCGGAAGCAACTCGTGGGAAAGAGTAATTAAACAAACATGCCTGTATGATGGTGTTTCGAACGTATATACATATATATGACAATGACTGGGGCCGACAAATTAAACGTGTCCCCCCCCTTGAAAGAAGCTATGAAAGCATATTGTCGTGTAGTCGCGTTACAAATTAAACGTATATCGAACGTTTAAGCACGCCATATACATGACAGGCTCCGCATCGTATACAATGGCGCGTTAATTATTGCCGCTAATTAAAGCCCTCGTTTTTCTCTCATTCCCTTTATTCGTCTTCTTAAGTCTCACGCAGTCTTTTCACTCGATAATTCCAAAAACAATTTTGTTCCTCTTAAAAATTGTCTCTAATTTTTCTCTCTCTCTATTTTTTTGTACACTGTTCATTTGTCATTTTTGATGATTATAAAAATGGTCTTCTTTTCTATAAATCGTTCATTTGTGATCATTTGATTAGTTGGGAATAATTTCAGTATCATAAACAAGAAAATAATAAAACTCACATCTTGAAGCTGAATTTGGTTCTAATAGGTGTCTTGTTGTGGGCAAAGAAGTTATTAATCGCTGTTGGAGAATAAATGACCTCGTTTGGTACAAGTTGACAGAACATTTAATGAGCTTAATAAACATTGCCTCCAATATAATTTAGATAGCGTCTGAAGGAGAGGATTCAATGCAATCGAGTCAAGAGTTATGAACAACTACAGCGCATGAACTGTTTAGATACATATAATGTTTGATTTCGACAACCAAAGGTTAGGGCAATTAATTTATACATCCCCTTTTAGGAAATTGTGTATCAAAATTATATTCCTTGTGTTCTTTTTTAACTACAAAAGCATCAAATCATAACAATATTTATTGGATTCAGTACAAGTATTACTGTTATTATAACATTATAGTAAATATTGTAACACTACTTCCTTGCAATAATAACTATCTTTTTCGTGGCGGCTACAAATAAAGATTTTCCATAAATAGTAATACTATTTCCAGAATTGGAATTCGCTTATGAAATTTTCAGATAAGCGAAATTTGAAGAAAAAAGAAAGGAAGATGAAATCATAAAACAATAGCATTTACATTGTTCTATAATGCGAATTATTGAATTTTCTGCTCTTCAAGATAAACGGAAAATGTCTATAGAAAGCGGAAGCGTGCAATCTAATTCTATTCTTAGATAGTCCTGGATTGTATTTCTCTTTCTCCATCTCTAAATCAGTAGGTTTTCTGTACAGGTGAATATCGACGAATTGATATCACACAAACTACATAGAGTTAAAAAAGAGAACTAACTATATTTCAATTCCGTAGTTTGCATACATTATGCGATTCGATTTCACTGAATCTAAATAATTAATACCACTAATGCTTGTATCTATAGTGTCTATAATTATCCCTCGGGTAGAATTTTCGTCCACTGTAAATTTGCTCTTTAATTATTTCCGGGAAGAGAGAAAATTTCAAAGTTGTATTTTTAAAACATAAATGTACTTCTATCAGAAAATAAATGTACTTCTCTAAAAGAAATCCACTTTTTGTTAGTTTTCATTAGTTTCTAATTTAAGTTTGTTAAATTATGTTAGCTCAGAATTTCACCTAAATAGCTTTTGAATATTATTTAATTGATGTTTGATACAATTTCATTGTTGATACAATTTCTAATATTCTTGCTAAACTATATGTACAATTCCCTGGGTCTGTAGGTTTATAGTAAAGATTCTATAGTGCAGTGTGGATCGATTGTGTGTTATTAAAGTTGCAAGCGCCCGTCATTTCTTGCTGTGTATCCTAACCGCAGTATATAGTGAGACTAACCCTCTGTGCACGTGAAGCGAGGAGCTTGACACGAATCACCGAATAAAGGAAACCATGTAATGCAACCATTCAATAAAATACCCATGGGTATTTCCTTCTCTTAATCAAACATAAATGTCAGAGGTGATCCACTTCCCGAAATGCATAAGACGAGATAAATTAAATTTACACCAAATTTTGAATTGCAGTTTGTGAATATTCAATTATATCATTGTATGTAAATTGTACAATAAATTACTGTCAGTAATTAAAGTTTAGATATCAAAACTATTTATTTGAACCCTTTATAATTTAGAGTAGATAGATCCAGAAGTAAGAAATCAATTTCGGAATTTAAATAAGGTTTGTTATAAGAGTGTTAGATCTTTACTTTTTAAATTATTCTCAAAAATTAGATTTTGTATTTATCTTCTATTTTAATTATCAGAAAACCAAAATTGTAAATGATTTCTTGAAATTTCAAGTTATTTGGGAATGTGGAACAGGTTTTGAAGCGGATCCTTGATACGGGTTTCAATATGTAACAAGTGCGGATAACCACACAGAATAAGCAAGTGCATGTGTTACCATGAGACGGCATTGTGTATATATATAGATAGAGAGAGAGAGAGAGTTTGATCGTATAGAGGACAGTATCTTGTATCTCGAGTGT